CAGAGTATAATCTCAGTTTTGCAAAGTATTTCCAGTATATGTATATATGTTTATGTACATACAAACACATATATGATGTATCTTTTGAAATAGGATTGTTTAATATTTTAAATTTCCTGATACTAAGCATGGATTAGATTTGAATAATACAGTTCTTTTGTTTCAGTAAATTCTGTGGGTTTTGTGTTTAACACCTTAATGCCACATGGTGAGTGCAATTCAAAGTGGAATAGAGCTAGCTAAAGCAGTATGATACAATTAGAAAACACTTGTCTCATATGGATATAGTATCTATGTCTCTAAAAGAGCTAATATAACTTCCAAAAACACCAAGCCAGAGACCATGGGAAAGCAGTGGAAAAAAAAATGGTTCAATATGATATTGATTTGTGGAATTCTTGAGTTCAGGGCAAGAGTTCCCCACTTGATCTATAGAGCCAATCTAGATATTCCTGGACTACATAGTTCAGGCAGAGATCACTGGAAGTCTAGAAACATAAACTTTGACCAAATTAACACCCAGACGGTTTAGATACAGGTCCACAAACAATGGTACCAGTGGGCTCCTGTGTACCCTTAGACCTGCCCATACCATTCCATCAGGCTGTGAAATGCCCAGACATACTCCAGCTGCCAGGTAAAGAATGGATGGCATTTAATAAAAGCAAGTTAAAGTTAACATTTTGAATCAATTTCTTTCCCTAATATAGCAGCAGAGAGTGATTTAAAGCAAATGTTTTAATTGTGCATTTCCTCTGACCGAGCCCATTCTAGCATTAAAACAGTGCCTCCTACAATTTCGTCACTCCCACCTGCCACTGCTAATGTTGTAGTTGTGTAGGCATAACCTATGTGCATTTAGGTCCAAATTTAAAATATTCTGGAAGTTAGTGTTCCTTTCCAATGTACTTTTCTATATACAAACAGGAAGAAGTTAAATCAAGGCAAAATCTGTAACTCTAAGGACTTTTTGTCTTAAGTATTTTTCTCACCATTTTTAATCTTCTTCATAAAACTGTTTTGTCAAATAACAGTAGTCAAATTCTGAAATAAAAATAGCAGAGAACTGTAAATAAAGAAAGAACAGAATAAACAGCTCCTTGCTCCAAATTAATACAGTTCATATTACATTCCGTCAGTGTAGTTACAGCTTAAAGATACAAAGAGAGTGTCCAAAGAAGCATGTATAAACAACAAATATTATCTAAAAATGAAAAATACTTTATTAGCTATTTAGGGCTTTCTATTTCTTCTGGCTAATAAAGTGAAATTCAAATATTACATTTTGAAGCTGAATCAGAAATCCATCAAAGAGCTTATTTTCCCCCAAATCCCAACTTCAAAACATATGGAAAATTGCCTAAAGGTAGAGAAAGTTGTTGCTTTTATCACACTGTGCATCTAAATTCCCAAGATGATTGATTTAACGAGGTTTGCACATTAGAAGCCTTTTCCATTGTTACAATAAGAGGAAATCACAAGAAAGATTAATGCCCTCCGCATGGTGCCACTGTATTAAAATGTCTTTGAAATGTCTTCACTCCAGGAGCACTTCCTCTCCTTGCCAGTGCTTAGTAAAGTTGGTCTCGATGTAAAGGATTTATTCGTTATGGCCGATGAAGCTGTCGTGCTGGAAATAAATACCTGTGACACCCTTACTTTCAAAGAGATGGAAAAACCAGTCCGTTTCCAAACAAAATTTGATGCCATGGCTTGGTACAAGGAGAGCACCTCTCTGAGATGCTCGCAAGGCAGGACACGGGTCTGCCAGGGTATCTAGGATCCTGCCACAGCACTGCAGTGTCACCACGTGGGGAGCTAAGCCAGGTGCCCTCCTATCCCTGGAAAGCTTCTCACACTTGAATCCTCTCCAGTGTTTTCTCTAAAGAGATGGAATGCTTTCTTGCCTCCACCTTCCCTCTTCTTTACAGGCACAGGAGAAAAAGCATTTCAATCCACTCTGACAATCTCTGGGATGGTGACATACACCTGAGCCTGTCTCTTCTCACACCACCCTGATTACATAAAAGAGGTGACTTCAGGCCGGGCACAGTGGCTCACGCCTGTAATCCTAGCACTCTGGGAGGCCGAGGCAGGCAGATCGTTTGAGCTCAGGAGTTCGAGACCAACCTGAGCAAGACCGAGACCCCATCTCTACTATAAATAGAAAGAAATTAATTGGCCAACTAATATTTATAGAAAAAAATTAGCCAGGCATAGTGGGACATGCCTGTAGTCCCAGCTACTTGGGAGGCTGAGGCAGGAGGATTGCTTGAGCCCAGGAGTTTGAGGTTGCTGTGAGCTAGGCTGATGCCACGGCACTCACTCTAGCCTGGGCAACAAAGTGAGACTCTGTCTCAAAAAAAAAAAAAAAAAAAGAGGTGACTTCAGAGAATAGTTTTTTTAAAAAAATGATTATGCCTCATTGCCTCCTATATTCATGCAACCAACAGCATTAGCTGTGCACCAGTTATGTGGCTGGTATTGTGCTAAGTGCTGGGATATACACATGAAACCATTTATGAACCAAAAAATATTATTATTTCACTAGCATGAAGTAAAATAATGAAGTCCAAAGTATGTAGCCCATGCAACATCAAAACAAATTAAAAAAAGAAAGATCATATGAAGAGCAACAGAGCTGTAGTTGACAGATACCAAAACGTGTATGGCCTAAAAAGACAATTGTTGGCACATGTCAAATATTAAATCAACAATCATGGACACAGAAAGATTTCTATCTATCATTTCTATATTATTCCCTGGTATTATGCATTTCTGCTCCTTTGCCTTCACTTGGGCTGCCTTGGTCTGAGTGTTTTGTCTCTTCTCCATTCATCCAAGAAATGCTGTCCTTAAGGACTCAGAAATCCCAGTTGCCCATGGCAACTCCAAATTCCATCAATCTCCTACTTCTGTAAACTCTTACCGTTTTTCTAGTCACCACCTCATACTTCAGCATATATTGGCCCGTACTGCTTGCAATTGTTTTCCTTTAATTGATTTTATAAGCCTACCTAGATTACAAGCTTCAAGAGAGTAGGAAACAAGTCCTTTATGACATCTACCTTCTCCCAACAGTTATTATAGGAGTGAGCACATTACTATTTGCACTCGATAAATACTTGACAATCTGGTTTGTTCTAGGATGGCCTGTTACCAAAAGGCCTCACACAGTTACAAAAAAAGTTGCGAAATGCAGAATGGAAACGTGTATTTATTTACAACTTTAAAGTAAACAAAAAGAATGATCAAGATATACAGAAAACATAAGCACAGAGGTACAAATAATAAAGTGGTAAATGTTTGACTAGGTCATTAGTATGAAACAGTAAAGACTAGAATCATGGAAACAAATCATAAGCAAGCATGATAGGAACAAACATTAATGCATTAACTTATAGTCTCTTTACTCCAAAAATTCTAGCATTGCTTTCTGGGCATCCCCCGCCCTTGCACTGACAAAATTAAGACTTATTGTCAGTAGATCACAAGGGTGTGGGACAAGTAGGAAGAAGCAAAGGACCTGTACACATGTGGCATTAAGGAGCCAGTTAGGGAGAGAATTTAAAGAGGATGAACAGAAAGATTGTTCAGGTAGCTCCTGCTGAGGGAGGTAGGAGTGAAAACAAAGACCTTCCAGTTACACTCAGCTACTAACCAGCTGGAAGATTTGGAAAAGTTATTTAACCACTTCAGTACGGTGCTCACTGACCTTGAAACCTTGCCCACAGCCGGCACTCATAGTCTGCATGATAGTTTGTGCTGTGCATTGACGATGAATCTGTTTTGCGCTTGTGTGATGAGGAAAGCTTTAAAGCACTGAAAGCTTGTTTTACTTTCCAGGCAGCTTTACTTGTCATGTAAATCAGAATAGGTAACATATACATATATGTTTTCATTACATTATTTTTAAATGTTCACAATTTTATTTTGATAAATGAAAAATTAGAAAAGTCATATCACGGCTGTCGGCTAAAGTCGCTGTGCGCGTTCACCTGTGCCTGTCGACTATAGTCGACGCTCGTACTGAAGTGGTAAAACTCTTTGAATTACAGATTTCATATCTGTAAAATTATAATGATAAAACCTACCATACTGGATTGTTGGAAGGATTAAGTGAATTTCTTTGCCCACTGTTGACACTCAGCAAATGGAATAAATGTAACTGTGTTGTTATCGATAATGGGCTTTGAAATTTTGACTGATAATGATTTCAAGGTAAAAAGATATTTTAATTCCTACTTGAAAATGTGTTGCCCTTAGAAATTGTATATCCATGGGCAAGCGTTATCAGAAGACATCATCAGAAGAGATAACTACATGCCAGACGTAACCAGTGTGCCAGCAGTGCAGAGAGAAGCCAGGTGAACCCAGAAGACACTGAACTTTCCACATTCCTTTCTCTCAATTGAGTACATCACCCTTCCCCTTCTTTTGGCTATTTTTTCAAGCATTTCTAGCGTCTTCCTACCTAATTGCTACCTTCATCCTTTCCTCTTAATAGCATTTTCATGCATTCCCTTTCATCTGTTCTATTGCCTATATATATTGTCCCTGAGAACACAGAAAGCAAAAATTCAAATAAGAAGAAAAGTGTAGATTCTTTTTCATGTGTAGTAAGTTAAACCATATGAAATTGCCATTTTGTAGGGAAAATTAATATACACACGATATACAATATGTTTATAATAGTATGCCTATCTATAATTACTATAAATATCTTCTAATGTTTTTATTGTTCTGAGCTTATGAAAAATGAAGATAACCTCATTTTGGTAACATTGAAAAGCCATATTCAAACTGTGTGGAAACTTCAGAAATAAGCCATAAAACATGAGCAGGTATGTGTGTATGTGCACACATTAAGTTTCTTTGGATGAAAGCAATAGAAGCCAACTCTGGCTAACTTAAGCATAAAAAGCAATTTATTGAACGATATAGGATAGTTCGTAGGATTTTTTTAAAAATCTGAAAAATGAACAACCATGGATCTCAAAGGCAAGAATTCATGTTCAGAATCCTTGGGAAGCTCCCAAAGAATGACAAAGCTTTATTTTCTTTTTTATTTGAGTGTTTTCTTTTCAAGATTCAAAGTGTAAGTAGATTCCAACTGGCCTAGTTTAGGTCAAGGGTTTAGGTCAAAGGTCTCCTCTAAGTTGAATAACCTAGCAGAAAAAGGGAAAAAGAAAACATTTATTTTCATAATATTGATACTTTTTTCTGTTTTTGAACCCTGTGAGAGAACATTTTCATAGCTGTTTTATGAGATAACTCTTACAATTTTGTTTTCCAGCTAATGTAACAGTCATCTCATAAACAGCTTCAAAACACAGGGCCACTTATTGTTTGTGTGTATGAAGAGGAGGAGTTCTCCTTAGCTGAGAGATGAGTCAGTTGTTTCTATAGAGAAAAATGAGCCCATAATCCTAGCCAGGAAGGATGAGGGTATTCATTCATCAATTACCATAGTTCTCCCAGTCAGATATGTAGGAAATACACACTTAAGGCCTGAAGCCAGAGCTGGAAAAGCACTTTCTGAACAGATGATACTCTTCCAGGTAAAGTATGTTTTATGAGGCTTCCACAACTGTAGGTCCACATATAAGTTTTATCTCACTACGACAATGTCAAGAGACTTGGCTTCCTGAGCCGCTCCTTTTGCCAAGTTCTACCCCGCATTTTCTGAGTGCAGTTAAAATAACACAAGTGCTTTAGGTTCACGTTACAATCTGGGCTCCACTATTTACTTAATAGCTTTATGACCCTGGACAAGTAATTTATTCTCTGTGTGTCTCAGTTTTCTTATCTGAAAAAAAAAATGGAAATAATATATCTGACATATGCAATATGATTGCATAAGTTAATACATGTAGAGTACTTAGAATGTGGCTTGGGGCATCATGAATACTCAATAAAAATTAGCTAGATATTATTCTCCCAACTCTTCTAGAGTACATCTGTTATAAATTCTGTAATTACAATCACCTCTCAGCCTTTGGGCTTGTATATATGTGTGTGTCTATATATATATACACACATATATATATATCAGTTTCTCTGGACTGTAATTTTAGCTTTCCTTCAAACTATATATTTTTTCCTCATCTCTCTGAAAACTAACATAGAAAACTCCTCTTGGTTAGACTCAATTTTCCTCTTGCCCACACAGTCAATCTTTTAGTCTGATCTTTTATGACTTCAAGTATGTGAGCAAACCAATGAAAAATATGACTCTAGGTATTCAAAACACAGCTCTCATGCTGTGTGGAAAAAAATATCAAAGCAATTAGGAGAGCATCAAGTTGGTAGCAAAACCACCAGCCTTTTGAGGCTAGCATATAGCCAACTTGGATGAAATTCTATATTCTGGAAATTTGACTCATCCATGCTAAAAATTATCTTTCTAGTATTCTTCTGTGCTAAAACCCTACAAAGAGATTCCAGATTCTAACAAGGTATCTTAAGTAGCAAGACCTCAGTGGTATGCAGTATTCAAGTTGGTCACAAGAAAGAAGTCAGGCCAAGAGATCATAAAGCAATGAGAAGCCACTGAAGCAGAAGGAAGCAACACACTGAGGTAGCTGTACCATTAGAGTTGCAATGGTTCTGGCTAAGATGCAAAAGTGGAGATTCAAAAAAACTAAAGACCACTCAGAGTGCAGATAAAAGGCAGGGTTTATTTTAGTGAATTCAGTTAACTGGTAATGATCAAAAACCAAGGTGACAATCACATCCAGATAGACAATAATGTCCTACCATCCATTTTGGGTGCTTACCCACTGCCAATTTCTCTGCCACTTTATAATTAAGAGCACCCTAATTCATTCAAATATCAGCCAGCCATATTCTTCCCAAAAGACTGCTTCTACTCCACCCCAAGAAGTGAAGCTTGCTTGGTCCAAGCCAATCATATTAGCAGTAATTCCATTTCATTTGCAAACGATTATTTTAGGAATGGCCATATGATGCAAAACTCACTAATAATAAGTAAGGGGAGACATCTGTGGATGGAAAGATGGCCAGATTTTGTCATTTTTTTTAAAAGGCCAGAAGAAAATGATAAGGGGCAGGAAGAATCAAGCATTTATTCTCTTTCCCATAATTTGAGTAACCAAATAGTTTATGAGGAAGAGATTTATTCAAAAATTCCAACTAATAAATGCTTCTCTTAAGAGGATAATGAAGCCAGGCAACAACCATCAATAGATGCTAAAATACTATGCACAAGTTGATGTGGAACTTTAAAGCAGGTAGATCCTACTGACAACTTCTGAATCCACAGGTGATTCTTATTATCACTAGAAGTAGAACAAGCAGGCATTACCTGTACTGTAAGATTTGAGGTTTTGGGTCATGCATAGTGTCACTTATGAAATATTCTTACAAAACAAAAGTGAATCTAAATCGATTCAAGACTGTATTTAAATCTCTAGTTTGGAAATATGAGGAGAAATGATCAATAAATGTATCACAAGGAAGCAATCAGCTAAATCCAAAATATGAGATAGTCTACAACAGGGGTCCTCAAACTTTTTAAACAGGGGGCCAGTTCACTGTCCCTCAGACAGTTGGAGGGCCATTGGAGAGTGCAGCTTACATTCCACACATGCGCCCTGTGAGCCCAGGAGGAGTGGGCTGCTAAGCAGGACAGGCAGCGGCGGCAAAAACACCCGGTGGCGGGTGGGCGGGATAAATGTCCATGGCAGACCATAGTAGTTTGAGGACCCCTGGAGGGTAAACTAGTTTCTTCAACAAAAAGAAGGAAGAGTGACTGTTATATTAATAGATCAAAAGGTGTTTAGAGAAGCATAACCTCCAAATGCACTGTATGAACCTTATTTGAGTTATTTTTTTTAAATGTAGTTAGTTGGGGAAAATTAAGCTCATATTAATATGTAAATAAGTTTAAGGAATTCTTATTGTGTTTATGTATGATAACAGTATTGTGGTTAAGTTAAAGAAGTCCTTAGTTGCTAAAAATGCATGCTGAAATATATATAGATAAAATATATGATGTTTGCTTTAAGATACGCAAAAAAAAATGTGTACAGAAGGAATACTCATGCGAAAAAAAAAGTGTAGAAAACAGATTGGCAAAATGTCAGTAATTGTTAAAGCTGATTTGAAATTTTCCAAAATTGAAAGATTTTAGACACATGGGAAAAAATCGGACATGAACAATGGTATACCATCTCCCCATTTCCAACTTCGGAACTTTGCTATGACCATGAAGGGACAATTCTTATGGCAGAGCAAAGAAAGAGAAAGAAATTCAGTCCTTGATGACATCATTGAGCTAGTAGATTAGCCAGCCTTGAAAGCATTTTACTCTGTGATTTTACTATATCAAGTAACAAAGGCTTTATTTGTTTTATCTGATTTTAAAATGAGTTTCCTGTTACTTGCAGCCACAATTATCTTAACTGATAAAATGTTATATAAAATTATTTTATTGCTATTTTTTTAAATTATTTGTTTTTAATTAAGTAATTACATACTCATTGAAACAAGTTATTATATGCTTACTGAAAAAAATAAAGAGGAATATAGGGCTCAGATTATTATTTCTCTTCATGTTCCCATCTCCTTATCAGAGGCAGCCACCATTAACATATTTTGATTTAAATGTTATCGGAATATCTGCATCTATGTTTGTCTAGATGATATTGTCTGTGAGGACTGCTTTGTGAGTCTGTGTGCCCATGTATGTGTGCGTATTCTCATGTGAGACCTAATCCTTTTGGGATAAGGAATTTGTCTTTTTATTTACTTCTAATTATCCCCCCAAGAGGCTAACGCAGCACTAAAGTTTCACTATGCGCTCAGTAAACAATTATTCGTAGGTGATATTATTGCTGATAAGAATAGCCAGGCTCACAAGAATCATTTCCAAAATGCACACAAACTGAACTCCAAGTCTGCAAATGCAATATTGTACCTTCCCCACCCCCCGCAGAAAAATAACAATAGATCACAACCAAAGATACCAGCAGGTGTGCAACATGCAAATGGCAAGCATGAAAACTGAAGTGACTGACATTCTGAAGACATTTTCCAGCAAGATAAATTGTCAAAGCTGAGAACATTTGAACAGCAGGGCACAGCAAAGAGGCATTACATCCTCACATTTCAAGTCATTTGGCTGTGCACGGCAGAGTTACTTATAAAACTTAGTAAAGAGAAATCTACATTAACTGTTGAGCCATCCATAGGACTGCATTTGGTAGGGAGAGAGGGCATATGTGCCCATCTGTTCCGGATCTAGCTACCTTCCCAACCTTCCCTCTCTTGTCATTTTTAGAATGTAAACATTTTGAATGTAGGGAGGAACTGGGTTCTGTGGTATGTTCTGAACAGTTTCCAGCACTTTGAGCACTTAGAACATTTTTAAGGAATAACAACATTTTGCATTGGACTGGAGGGAATAGAACTTCCCCTTCATTTGCTAAAATGAGAATATCTTTTATTCACCAAAAGCTGTTCTTTGGCTGACCAATTTAGCAAAAGAATAAAGAACTCCTCCTCTCATGCTTAGAAGAGACCTGTTCTTAAACAATGAAATGGTAATGCGAGGAGACATGTAGCAGCAGACAGCCAGTTTGTAAAAGTACTTTTCTGGACAAGAAAGATAGTTTCAAAGTGTAGAAAGTCAATTGGACTCAGCCAGGTTCTGCTTTGGGAGGTCCACAGTCTGTAACGCAGATACGAAGAAAAGTGTTCAGGATTAGGCAGGCATTTATAGAAGAGACAGAAAAAAATGTTTAGTTCTACATATCAAGTTTAAAAAAGGGAAAAAGTGTTGGTGTCAATCTTTCAGAATCTTTAAGAAGTAATAGTAGCCTGTTTCTTAAAAGCTGTCAGTTTTAAAATCCTATTTGGAATTGATCCTATAGATATCATCATTCAAGTGTGAAACAAATGTAAAAATAAAGTGAGTCATTGTGCACTGTAATAATGAAAAATTGGAAACCAATATTCATCAATAAGGGGCCAGTTGAGTCATAAGCTTATCAATACAGTGAAGTATTAGGTAGCTGTCAAAATAGAGCAGAAAATTCTCTATATAATCATGAAAAAATCTGAGTGGCATGTTGCTAAGTTTAAAATAAAACATACAAGAACACCTATACTATAATGACAGTTTTGTAATAAAGAAAAGCTATAT